AGAACCAAACAAAACAGAAAATTAGAACCACGATTGAGATGAGAAAGGAACTCAGCAGAACATGAGAGTGGGGCCGCGTGTCTGCTCCGGCCTCCCAGGTGGTCCTCCTTCATCTACTTCTCTAAACAAGAGTTGTTACATTCTTGTACAGCCACTAGTACGCGTAGCGTTTCGGGCAGGTCCCTGGAATACGATCCCCGCCGCGAAGAATCGTTGTTACAACCAAGTACACATTTTACTGTTGCGTTAAACAGAGGCTACAGTTAAGGATTTGCGCCCAGTAAATCCTCCCCGGCCAGGATACGAACCCATGACAAAGCGCTCACGGAACGCCAGGCGAGTGTCTTACCACTATACCACGGAGACGTAAAAGAAATGTGTGCAAAATTGGGGAAGGTGCCAAGTTTTCTTGAAAAATATCACTCTGGCAAAGTTGTGATGATGGTAAGGGCCGCCCCTGACACAGTAGTACTGATAGTAAGGGACGCCCCTGACACAGTAGTACTGATAGTAAGGGACGCCCCTGACACAGTAGTACTGATAGTAAGGGACGCCCCTGACACAGTAGTACTGATAGTAAGGGACGCCCCTGACACAGTAGTACTGATAGTAAGGGACGCCCCTGACACAGTAGTACTGATAGTAAGGGACGCCCCTGACACAGTAGTACTGATAGTAAGGGACGCCCCTGACACAGTAGTACTGATAGTAAGGGACGCCCCTGACACAGTAGTACTGATAGTAAGGGCCGCCCCTGACACAGTAGTACTGATAGTAAGGGACGCCCCTGACACAGTAGTACTGATAGTAAGGGACGCCCCTGACACAGTAGTACTGATAGTAAGGGCCGCCCCTGACACAGTAGTACTGATGGTAAGGGACGCCCCTGACACAGTAGTGTTGATGGTAAGGGACGCCCCTGACAAAGTAGTACTGATAGTAAGGGACGCCCCTGACAAAGTAGTACTGATAGTAAGGGACGCCCCTGACAAAGTAGTACTGATAGTAAGGGACGCCCCTGACAAAGTAGTACTGATGGTAAGGGACGCCCCTGACAAAGTAGTGTTGACGGTAAGGGCCGCCCCTGACAAAGTAGTGTTGATGGTAAGGGACGCCCCTGACAAAGTAGTACTGATAGTAAGGGCCGCCCCTGACAAAGTAGTACTGATGGTAAGGGACGCCCCTGACAAAGTAGTGTTGATGGTAAGGGACGCCCCTGACAAAGTAGTGTTGATGGTAAGGGACGCCCCTGACAAAGTAGTACTGATAGTAAGGGACGCCCCTGACAAAGTAGTACTGATAGTAAGGGACGCCCCTGACAAAGTAGTGTTGATGGTAAGGGACGCCCCTGACAAAGTAGTGTTGATGGTAAGGGACGCCCCTGACAAAGTAGTACTGATAGTAAGGGACGCCCCTGACAAAGTAGTACTGATAGTAAGGGACGCCCCTGACAAAGTAGTAGTGATAGTAAGGGACGCCCCTGACACAGTAGTGTTGATAGTAAGGGACGCCCCTGACAAAATAGTACTGATGGTAAGGGCCGCCCCTGGCAAAGTAGTGCTGATAGTAAGGGCCGCCCCTGACAAAGTAGTACTGATGGTAAGGGACGCCCCTGACAATGTAGTGCTGATAGTAAGGGCCGCCCCTGACAAAGTAGTACTGATAGTAAGGGCCGCCCCTGACAAAGTAGTACTGATAGTAAGGGACGCCCCTGACAATGTAGTGCTGATAGTAAGGGCCGCCCCTGACAAAGTAGTACTGATAGTAAGGGACGCCCCTGACAAAGTAGTGTTGATGGTAAGGGACTCCCCTGACAAAGTAGTACTGATAGTAAGGGACGCCCCTGACAAAGTAGTGTTGATGGTAAGGGACGCCCCTGACAAAATAGTACTGATAGTAAGGGACGCCCCTGACAAAGTAGTGTTGATGGTAAGGGACGCCCCTGACAAAGTAGTGTTGATAGTAAGGGACGCCCCTGACAAAGTAGTACTGATAGTAAGGGACGCCCCTGACAATGTAGTGTTGATAGTAAGGGACGCCCCTGACAAAGTAGTGTTGATAGTAAGGGACGCCCCTGACAAAGTAGTACTGATAGTAAGGGACGCCCCTGACAATGTAGTGTTGATAGTAAGGGACGCCCCTGACAAAGTAGTGTTGATAGTAAGGGACACCCCTGACAATGTAGTGCTGATAGTAAGGGACGCCCCTGACAATGTAGTGCTGATAGTAAGGGACGCCCCTGACAAAGTAGTGTTGATAGTAAGGGACGCCCCTGACAAAGTAGTACTGATAGTAAGGGACGCCCCTGACAGTGTAGTGTTGATAGTAAGGGACGCCCCTGACAAAGTAGTGTTGATAGTAAGGGACGCCCCTGACAATGTAGTGCTGATAGTAAGGGACGCCCCTGACAATGTAGTGCTGATAGTAAGGGACGCCCCTGACACAGTAGTGTTGATGGTAAGGGACGCCCCTGACAAAGTAGTGTTGATGGTAAGGGACGCCCCTGACAAAGTAGTGTTGATAGTAAGGGACGCCCCTGACAATGTAGTGCTGATAGTAAGGGACGCCCCTGACAATGTAGTGCTGATAGTAAGGGACGCCCCTGACAATGTAGTGTTGATAGTAAGGGACGCCCCTGACAATGTAGTGCTGATAGTAAGGGACGCCCCTGACAATGTAGTGTTGATAGTAAGGGACGCCCCTGACAATGTAGTGCTGATAGTGAGGGACGCCCCTGACAAAGTAGTGTTGATAGTAAGGGCCGCCCCTGACAAAGTAGTACTGATGGTAAGGGACGCCCCTGACAAAGTAGTGTTGATGGTAAGGGACGCCCCTGACAAAGTAGTGCTGATAGTAAGGGACGCCCCTGACAATGTAGTGCTGATAGTAAGGGACGCCCCTGACAATGTAGTGCTGATAGTAAGGGACGCCCCTGACAATGTAGTGCTGATAGTAAGGGACGCCCCTGACAATGTAGTGCTGATAGTAAGGGACGCCCCTGACAATGTAGTGCTGATAGTAAGGGACGCCCCTGACAATGTAGTGCTGATAGTAAGGGACGCCCCTGACAATGTAGTGCTGATAGTAAGGGACGCCCCTGACAAAGTAGTGCTTATAGTAAGGGACGCCCCTGACAATGTAGTGCTGATAGTGAGGGCCGCCCCTGACAATGTAGTGCTGATAGTGAGGGCCGCCCCTGACAATGTAGTGCTGATAGTAAGGGACGCCCCTGACAATGTAGTGCTGATAGTGAGGGCCGCCCCTGACAAAGTAGTGCTGATAGTGAGGGCCGCCCCTGACAAAGAACAACACATCTCTTCCTCTGCCTCACCACCTTCCACCTGTCTCATCAACTCTCCTAAGTGCAGGTAAAGTTTATACAGTAATTGCGTTAATTTATTTTTATGTACTCTACTAATATATTTATTTCTGAGCTCTGGAACCCGCTGATATAATTTACATCTTTCCTCGATCGGCCTTTAAGAACCAATTAAGTTTGAGTACCAAAGTTTTCACTATAATGAATGAAAAGTTTTATCATTTCATAAGAAAAACAGTGAATAATATAATATTTCAGGAAAATTCGACTTGTTAGGCAACTTAGCCTATTAGGTTATACATATATTATTTATATATATTATGGCAGTTCCCGTGGTGCAGTGGTAGCACACTCGTCCCTAGCTTCGCCAGAGATTTGGTCTCGATTCTTATCCTGGCCGGGGAGGATTGACTAGGCGTCAATCCTCAACTGTACGCCTCTGTCTACTCAGCAGCAAATGGATACCTGGTTGTTAAACGATTTGGCGGGTCGTATTCCAGGGAAAATTAAAAGTTGAGGACTTTCATAATCATATACATTACATAATGTATACAAGCAAGTAACAGAACACACACACACAACAATGTACAGGTAAAGCTTAGTGCAAAGTAAAGCACAGTGCCAGGTGAAGCACAGTGCCAGGTGAAGCACAGTGCCAAGTAAAGCACAGTGCCAGGTGAAGCACAGTGCCAAGTAAAGCACAGTGCCATGTGAAGCACAGTGCCAAGTAAAGCACAGTGCCAGGTGAAGCACAGTGCCAAGTAAAGCACAGTGCCAGGTGAAGCACAGTGCCAAGTAAAGCACAGTGCCAGGTGAAGCACAGTGCCAAGTAAAGCACAGTGCCAGGTGAAGCACAGTGCCAAGTAAAGCACAGTGCCAGGTGAAGCACAGTGCCAAGTAAAGCACAGTGCCATATGAAGCACAGTGCCAAGTAAAGCACAGTGCCATATGAAGCACAGTGCCAAGTAAAGCACAGTGCCAGGTGAAGCACAGTGCCAAGTAAAGCACAGTGCCAGGTGAAGCACAGTGCCAAGTAAAGCACAGTGCCAGGTGAAGCACAGTGCCAGGTAAAGCACAGTGCCAGGTGAAGCACAGTGCCAAGTAAAGCACAGTGCCAGGTGAAGCACAGTGCCAAGTAAAGAACAGTGCCAGGTGAAGCACAGTGCCAGGTGAAGCACAGTGCCAGGGACCCTATAACCCTCGTGCTATGCTGTATAATTTCAGCTTTATTTTTCTTACATGTATCTTATAATTAGATTACACTCTACTCTTATTAAAGTGTATAAAGCATCAGGCTACAGCATCAGCTGCAGAGTGTGAGTGCTGGGGTGAGTGAGAGTGTGTGCTGGGATGAGTGCAAGTGTGTACTGGGGTGAGTCTGAGGTGAGTGTGAGTGTGTACTGGGGTGAGTCTGAGGTGAGTGTGAGTGTGTACTGGGGTGAGTCTGAGGTGAGTGTGAGTGTGTACTGGGATGAGTGTGAGGTGAGTGTGTGTACTGGAGTGAGTGCAAGTTTGTATTGTAAACTCACACTGTGTTGTATAGTGTATACCTAGTGTGTGTGTGGGGTTCATCACTACACTATAGGTAAATAATGTTCTATGATTTTTTGTAAACTTAATTATTTGGTAAAAACAGTCATGCTATATATAAATAAGAAAAGGCAAAAATATAAACAAAAACTTAAAAGCTGTTGAGTTTAATATTTTTATTGTGAACAGGACACAGTTCTCAGGGAGGAGATTAAACAGACAAAATATTGAACCCGTTGCAACAGAAAGTCATAAAATTGAATCACAATATCGTCATTTCCAGCTAAAAATTAGAAGTCTAGATTTGTGTTTCTTCGAAAAAGCTAATTAGTGGCAAATTGGAACCTTCCTATGTTTTATATACTTCCAGTCGATTTAAAAATATACGTCACAGTGTCACAGTTAAGAGCACTATCCCTGCCTGTCCCTCCGTCTGTCCCTCTGTCCATCCAGGGACCTGGCCACCGGGTGTAAGACATTGTGTTGTGTGAGATTCCAGGGGACGCGCACGCGCAGTGCCCCCCCCCCCTTCTCCCCTGTGGTATTTACAACGGTTTCCTGATGAGGCTAGTGTCCTAACTGTGCATAAATACATCACTCATTACTTACAAGATACAGCGATACATAGAAAACATGTACAACCCTGTTTCTTAGTCCACGGCATGAGTAAGTACAGTTTGTTTCGTTACAATATCCCGACTGTAACATCGAGCAATGTGTAGCCTAACTTGAACTGGTACTCAAGTTGGAGGTAAGAAATCAGGCAAGACAGCACACAACCGTATGGTAAGTTGACAGTATAAAGCTACATCCGAACAGAACTCCTCTCTTGCATGCCATTATCTAATTGTAGTTTATCTCGCTCTCGTGATTACAAGCTATTAAATTTGCATACAGATATTTTGACCTTACACAGAGAAAGCGTTTAATGAGATGAGCTATATTTAAACAACCAATAATATTCCCCTCGTGTGTGTGAATGTGTGTGTGTGTGTGTGTTAAAGAAGTTTGGCCCAAAATAACGAATTAGAGAACCAGTAATGCTAGAATACAACGTTATCAGGCTAAGGTAGCGACATCCCAGTACATAGGTGTCACGCTCTACAATAGAAAATGAGAATTACAGAACACCATTCTCTCGACTCTGTTAGAGGAGGAACTAAATCATTTGTAGTGCCTTTAAATGATGTTAAAATATTGATTATTAGGATGGACAAAAAGTGACGCTAATCCGACTTAGGAACAAAACTCGACATTTCTCTCTGGATGACTTTTTATAAATGGTCTGAATCTCAAGTTTCCTTTAGCCTTCAGATATGTGCAAGAACTAAGAAATACTAAATATGTGTTTAGGGTGCATAGTGGAGAAATTAAGATGGCATTAAACCAACAAAAAATATAATAAAAAATCATAAAATAAATCATTAAATGCCGCTAATGATTTGCGATAGAATCCATAAGAGAGTGGAGGGGAGGATGTTGGTGGTGTGGCGAGGCTTTTGTTGACTTCTACTGCAGAGGCTCCTCACCCAACCTGGTGGGGGTGACGCCAGTGGTCAGGGTGTCTGCGGCGGCGGCGGCGGCGTCGGCAGCGGCGTCTGCGGCGGCGTCTGGCTCCTCCTGCCCGGCCTCAGCTCTGATGGTCGTGGTGGCCAGGTCGTCGCTCACTTCTGTTCCTAGAAAAGCGAACATCCTCGTCGTGTATTTGTCGTGGGCGGCAAGAGGAAGGGACTAAGGGACGGCCTCAGCTGTTACTGAACAAACACAACATGGGGACGAACAAAGAAAATGGGGCTTTGACTTTGCTCACTCGTAAACATATAAGGGATATAGCAATCACAACTCTTAAAAAAAAATTGTGTAGGGTTTTGACCACTTAAAATTGGCAAAAGGATTGTTATCAGTCCAAAAAGATTCTTAAGATGACACTTAATATCAAATGAAATTAAATATAGGATCATGCTGCGTTCGCTGTTGAATATCTATTTAATATTAATTTGTGGATATCTTAATTAAATTCTGGGATTTACTTGGGGAATTTTTAATTCTTTGTTAGTTTTAACTCAGGTGAATCTTAACATAACATCGTTGTGTTATGACCGGATGACTGAGGCTTCAGGGCCAGGCGCTGGGTCACTTGTAGAGGTGAGTACTGAACCTGTGGGTGTTGTCTTGTTAATTGTGTATTGTGGCTGTGTTCACGGTCTCATCCCTCACACCTCACTCATAACACCCAGCCTCCCTCACCTCACACTCATAACACCCAGCCTCCCTCACACCACACTCATACCACAGCCTCACTCACCCCTCACTCATAACACAGCCTCACCCTCCAATGTTAACAATCTCGCTTTTGATACACTTAAAAAATAAAAAAAAATGTAATCAGGTAATTAGGCTGCTCTTTGTTAGTCAATCTGTATTATAAAAATTGTATTGCTAATTATATTCATATTGTGTACACTATATAATGAGTTGAGTCCTTAAGAGAATCTTGTTCATAAAAAATTAATACATTTCTTGCGTCATTGTTTTATATTTATAGATTTAAGTTAGAATTAACTAACAGGGAAAACTCTGCAGCTTCCAGCTTGAAGTCGACGACAGTTAATACACGTGTGTAATACACGTGTGTAATACACGTGTGTATTACAAACATGCCAGTGGAGGGAGGATTTTGTTGTGTCTTGTGTCTGTGGTGTTTGTCCCATAGGGTGACCAGCCCGTGTGACCCCCAGAGTGACCAGCCCGTGTGACCCCCAGAGTGACCAGCCCGTGTGACCCCCAGAGTGACCAGCCCGTGTGATCCCCCAGTGTGACCAGCTCGTGTGATCCCTAGAGTGACCAACCCATGTGATCCCCAGAGTGACCAGCCCGTGTGACCCCCAGAGTGACCAACCCGTGTGACCCCCAGAGTGACCAGCCCGTGTGATCCCCCAGTGTGACCAACTCGTGTGATCCCCCAGAGTGACCAACCCGTGTGATCCCCTAGAGTGACCAACCCATGTGATCCCCAGAGTGACCAACCCGTGTGATCCCCCAGAGTGACCAACCCGTGTGATCCCCCAGAGTGACCAACCCATGTGATCCCCAGAGTGACCAACCCGTGTGATCCCCCAGAGTGACCAACCCGTGTGATCCCCCAGAGTGACCAGCCCGTGTGATCCCCCAGAGTGACCAGTCCGTGTGATCCCCCAGAGTGACCAACCCGTGTGATCCCCCAGAGTGACCAGCCCGTGTGATCCCGTAGAGTGACCAACCCACCATTTACCGTTGAGTTGTTACCGTGTAACTGTGTCCGTGTTGCCAGAGTAATGATACACTGAACAATCATATGAACTCAACTCACTGTTGCATGTGTTCAGTGGAAAGACATCAGGAAAGGGCATACAATATTAAAACAATGCCTCGTAGATGTAGCTACGAGGGTATGAGAGTAATCCCGGTGGTGGTGGTAATTAGTGTCCCATCACCTTGGTATGTGGTAAATTATTTGAAGGTGAATCGTAATGGGCTAATTTATAAATGGAGAAACCCTCCCCCAAAAAATAAGTGTTAGGATAAGGGTTTTGATGCTACAAGACCCTTGCATCTTGTCTGATTTGTGACCTGCTAAGGATCAAACACTTGTTATTCTTAGATTAGCCTCGAGAGATTCTACTCTTTATACCTCATGACGCTCGTATTGACTCTATAGAGCATTAGTACGTTAACACGTCACGTTAAGACTGATGAGAATGTTGAGGCATAAAGAGTAGAGCTCCGAGTGAGGCTGCTCTTTATTCATATGTCCTGAAATCTTAATATCTTTATTTATATTAGTTTTAACCTTAAAATTATCCTGCTATATTCAGGTTTAATATGTACATGTAGTTTAAAGTTGGCTGTAGTTTATAATTACTGTTCCTAATCCAAATACGAAATATGACTCTGAATTTAAAAGGTGTAATATGTCGTCGGAAGATCACACACACATACACACATTATATATATATATATATATATATATATATATATATATATATATATATATATATATATATATATATATATATATATATATTGTATGTAGTGAGCAGTATTCTGAGAGCAGACAAGTTTGTCTCAGCTTAAGCATACTTGTATGCAAGTCCACAGTGAAGGGCTCAGCAAGTATTATATATATTAAAGCATCAGAGTTTAAACTTATCATTGATTTATATGAGAATGAATGGTGACGCGGGCACAGGGGTGGCAAGATGTCAACAAACAGTAACTACAGATACAAAAATAGAGAGGAAGGTGTGGATTCACATTACAAAAAAAAAAAAATGAAAATAAAAAAAAAAAAGAGAACAAGACTTTTGGGCTAATCAAAAGGGAATGACAAAAATAGGTTTGAGAATTATGTATGTAAATCCACTTTCATATTATTTAAAAAAGTTATTTCCAAAAATTTCAGATCATGAAATCACTGTTAGCATAAGTGATCATGCCGAAGCGATTAGGAAACTATTGTTCTCTGGGGGAATATGGGTTGGGGGGCGACATGTTTAGTTGGGATTATGTGTCTCTAGGAACGTTGACAGACAGGTGGATCTCAAGGCTGGTCTCAAGCACGCCTGTGAGACCGCTCCAACATTAGTGTGAACACAGTGACGGAAGAGGAACTCAAGGGAAGAAATGTCTCTCAGTGACAGAAATGGAACGGAAGAAAAATGTCTCAAATCAACAATGAAACTGAAGAATAATATAGTTTCTCGGTGACCGAGACATGCAACTCAAGTTTTGAATCAGTAACTAAGACTTGAAACTCAATAATTAACTTATATTTCACAAGCATGTAACTCAAGAACAGTCAAACATAGACACAAACTCAAGAAAATAATCCAATTTCACTGTGACAATAAACTTAAGAATAACTTAATCCCAGTGACATGAAGCACTGAGAGTTACTGATCTCGAGACAGCCACACACACACACGTGACCACTTAGAACAAATATGTAAGAAATAAGGGAAGAATCTTTAATATGACAAATACTAAATACACGAGTAATACATACCCACAAGAGCTCCGTAGAAAGATAAGCTAACTACAGCTTCTACTCAGCTAAAACAAAGTAACAAGAAATGGTTAAAGCATGCGGACCACATATTCCTTTTTTCGTTGTTGTTAATCATCTATAATCGTATCAAATTATATCAAACTTACAAAGTCTCTATTCACTACATATATATCTAAACAACATATGACAATGCTGGTTGAGACGGCACGTCAAGAGGGAGCTGAGGTTCTCTTCCCTTTGTCTAGAGAAACGATTTGCACTGAATTATTACCTTGACACGTGTTCACAATCCCTACAGACACCCCAGTGCACGTAACTGATTAAATTTGGTCATGAACATTAGAGGAGACTTAGTTTATTTTAATAAAAAATTAATTCATCGCCAGTCTTAGTGCTTATAGTCATTGAAATCCGGTATATAAGGATTTTCGTAGTCTTTTGTCCAGTTGCAATTGCTGGATGACAGAGGACAACAGCTTCAAGAATACAGCAGACAGGTGACGGGACCTCCCGTACCGAGTCACAAATCTTATCTTCTGTCACGTCTAGGGAAAATCATAAACTTTTCTTGAGTAACGATCGAATTTTCACGGCTAATCTTGAGTCCTCTTATTAAATAAACTCACGCAAGCTGTGCAATTTTTTTTTGCATAAACAGCAGTAAATTTTAGAATTGAAAGGGTTCGCAATTGTGTTGTTAATCACATCTACTGTAGTTCGAACATACCTGATGGCTTCTTCTGTGTTTTATGTGAGCGAAAAAATGCCCCTACAGCGAGAATCTTGGAGGTAGCAGATAGCAATTTCCTTTTGGCCAAGCTAGGCTCACCAGCTACAGGGCGAACGAGAACGAAGGCTACCCTTAGAAACTGTCCTCTGACGTGCCCGTATCTTATATATATGTCACTATAACCTATATCTTACTCAAGCTCCAACTGTGACCAGTGGTAACGCTGGAGGGCTGTAGCAACCCCAACTGTGACTAATGGTAACGTTGGAGGGCTGTAGCAACCCCAACTGTGACCAGTGGTAACGCTGGAGGGCTGCAGCAACCCCAACTGTGACCAATGGTAACGCTGGAGGGCGGCAGCAACCCCAAATGTGACCAATGGTAACGTTGGAGGGCTGCAGCAACCCCAACTGTGACCAATGGTAACGCTGGAGGGCTGCAGCAACCCCAACTGTGACCAATGGTAACGTTGGAGGGCTGCAGCTACCCCAACTGTGACCAGTGGTAACGGTGGAGGGCTGTAGCCACAGCACTTGCCCTTATCTCAGTACTACTGAAGCTAACACCATTGCATTAGCAATAGACATTCCTTGTTTCAGTCATATTTTCAACCAGAGTTCCAGTCCGGAAGGTGAAGTAATAACTGGAGCTGCTGCCGATCAAGACAGCTCAGTCAATGGGATTGTGAATAGCCTATTTTTAGGGTTTTGAAATGTTTGAGTTCTTGCGACCTTAGAACTTGGTAGCCTAACTTGAGGTGAGGAGCGGGTGGTGTAGAAGTTTGACAACTCAAGTTTGACACCTGTTACTAGTTAATTGCCCGATTCAAGTGGTGAAAATTAAAACAGATTTGAACTTTTTTTTATTTCAACTCAATATATTGGAGAAAATTTTGCTGA